AAAAAAAAAAAAAAAAAGTCTCTTTTACCTAGCCCTACCACGTCATCTTCCAAATGCTGAAATCAAATTACAATTTCTCCAACTCTCTCAACCGAAGTCTCTTGTGTTTTCAACTTTTGCTGTTCATTTTCTCTTTACTTTTCACAGGTTATAGCATTTAAATCTGTGGTTCCCACCCCGAGGCAGCAGAATGCTAGGGCCCATGGCCTGTTGGGAGTCCAGGAGCACAGCAGGAGGTAAGCAGCGGCAGGGCAGGGAAGCCGCATCCGTATTTGCAGCTGCTCCAGCCACTCACATCACCGCCTGAGCTCCATATTCTGTCACATCATGGGCAGCACTAGGCTCTCACAAGAGCACAAACCCTCTGTAAACTGTACACGTGAGGGGGGTAGGTGGCACGCTCCTCGAGAGAATCTAAATCCACCACCCTCCTAACCCCATCTGTGGAAAAACTGTCTTCCATGAAACCAGTCCCTGGTGCCAAAACGATTGGAAACCACGGGTTTAAACATCATAACGTTTCCTGAGACTGCCCTCACGCCTGAGATTGGACACTGACTCTACGCCCCGTCTCTGTGTCTGCCTCCCCCCACTGCCCTCTGGACTGACGCCAACCTCAGCTCAGGCTGCAGCGGTACCTACCTCTGCCTTGCTTCTGTCCCTGGGTCTGGTCTCTAGTAGCTTAAAAAAAAAAAAGGGAGCTCAGTTGTATACTCTGACATTTTGCTGACCAAAGGACCTCAGAAAGCTATCATGTAAGATGGGCAAAAGGGCCTGATAAGTCCCTATGAAGCCAGGAGAGATTTCTAACCCTACTTCCCGGAGAGCCGTAAGGAACCCAAGGAATGTCATCTTTGGGTCGTGGCCTCTTGAGTACAGTTATTATCCATTATCTTGTTCCTGGGCTAAGGACAGCCAAACAAATCTGGCATGGCTTATTTGGGACTTGTAATAAATAATGCTCTTTGTTAATTAATTAAAACAACCCTTTTCAGTAGGAAAGCTCAAACTTTGACTGTAAATACAAAAATACTGAGTTCGCTTGTTATCTGATGGTTTATGTGGGACAACAGTGAAGGTTGGTATGCCCTGCTCCCACGCTGTTGTTTGACAGAAGAGTTCCTGCTACGTGGTTCACCACATGCCATGCTGCTAGAAATTACAAAGATCTAGAGCCTTCCTCAGTCCCTATTCACATGCATCACTAATTTATAGAGTAAAGTTTGAGATTTTTTTTGTGCATGTGTTTATTGTCAAATATTCAGAGGACTGAGTCATGCATACTAGAAAGACTTACTGAGTTACATCATCAAGTCAAGGATGGTTTTGGAGACATAAAAGGCCAACTTGTTATTAATGGGTTCTGTGGCTTACAAGATTGCATTTTCTCAGTTAAGCGATAAGTTAACTGATCAAACTGAGACTACATGGGAAAAATGAAGTCAGATCTAAACTTGATTTGTAGGCTGAGCCGATGGAACCGCATCCTGCATTCTCTTCCCGTTGCTAAACTGCTCTGAGCTCATGAGAATCATGAAATTTTAAAAACTGCAGAGCCATTTCACGGAAAGGAAAATCACAACCCCAGAGAGGATCCATACCCTGTTGACGAGTGTGAAACACGTTTCAGTGCTCTCTACCTGCCTTTGGAAGATAAAGTGCCAGCACATGTTTGAATGACAAGCATCTGCCCTGTGAATGTGCCTCAAATTTGAGAACTGACATAAGCCACAAGTGAAATCCCCTGGAATTCTGGAGCCAACCAAATGAATCCGAAGATGATCTTAAAATATTTGCCACTGGTTTGAGTTCATCTGCTCAATAAAAACATCTTCTTTCAGCTCTGCGCCTGTGGCTCAAGCGGCTAAGGCGCCAGCCACATACACCTAAGGTTCGAATCCCCAGCCCAGGCCCGCCAAACAACAATGACGGCTGCAACCAAAAAATGG